AGAAGAAAAGGATCTAACAGTGTATCATTTCAGCCTCTGCAAATCATTATCACATCAGTGAAACACACAAACATGACTGTCATTTTTGTAATTGCAAGTTATCTTACATAACGTGAATTATGTCACATTTTTGAAAATGTGAGTATCAACACCTACTGTATTTTTTCTACGGGGGCAACATGCCTCTGTTGGAGTGGTTTTGCTTGGATTGTCATCACACCATTCAAATCACCACAGAAGTTGCTAGATAAACGGTGAACCTGTTAAATGCAACAAATATGCATTAACCTTTACTTTTTTTGAAGGAAGACCTCAAAAATCGCAGAGTTAGGAAACATTTTACTTCTTTCTTAGAAAACAGATGGTTCAGTAGTAGTAGATGGAGCAACTATAATGTTTTGCTTATTTTAAACAGATTTTTACAAACAGAACTTGCATAATTTAGTTATTGAATTGCAACTCAATTTACAGTGGAAGTTTAAATTGAAGACAGAGCTTGATTCTCCAAAGTTTCTATTTACCATCAGCACAGGGCACAGAGTCTGGGCATTACTTATCTAAGCATTTTACTTCTGCTGGCTACTGGGAACACTACAGAACAAAGTACACCAACAGGTAGAGCCAAGACTGCTATGCTATTTTTCCCATGTTCCTTATCTTGCTATGTAACAAGCATGGAAAAAGAGCAGATGGAAGAAAATGAAGTCACTTGAACCCAATAAGAGAGAGATGTGAGAAAAAAACAAACAGAAGCAGTGGCTGAAAAAGAAAACAAATGTGCAAAACAGCAGCCAGGGGAGAGGGAGAAAAGACAGCAGGCAGGATAAAATAGGACATTTTATCAACTTAAAGATGAGCTTCTACAAAGACAGGTAAGGCCTAGTGGAAACAAGCTGGTGGATGTACTACAGAGTTCCCTTTCAGAAGAGGCAAAGAAAAAGAAAAGGAATGAGGGAGTCTGAAAATTGCAGGGTTGTGAGTAACGCACTTCACCTTGCAACTTCTCATTCCTGCAGTGCAGGGAAAAGCCCAGTGTGTTTACTTAATTCTCCCAAGAAGAAATGATAGGACCACAATACAAACAAAATTAATTTCTAAGGACAGAATACAGTATAACAAGCCTTTCTTTGTAAACCATCTTCAGCAATATCTTAAGTGGTAAATACCACCTTTAAGAACAACCAAAGAAAACCAAGTGAGAATACACAAAAAAATGCACATGCAATTAACCCTCATTTTAAATAAGATGGCTTTAAGTACACCTACTTGGTATAAAGAAAAAAAGAGGCAAAAAAAAAATAGAAGAGCCTTTTCAAGTTTTGACCAAGACAGTCCAAGGTTTGTAGAAAGAAAAAGACTATCATTTGACAGAAAGTTATTTTTTATTTTTACCTGAGATGAAACAAAATGTGAGCCAAAAGATACACTTCGTGCTTCAGAACCTCTGGAAATAGGAATGCTCCCAACATCTGTTATAACATGAATGGCTGGCAAATGTGGCAATTTTGTGCGAACACTTTTCAGTTTTTCCACTTGTTCATCACACTCTTTACAACAGGAAAAAAATACAGGAAATAAGTATTATTTTCTGTGTTTACCAGCCATCATTTGTTGGGATTCAAACAATATTAAATTTCACAGTAAATAAAGACATTAATATAGTTTCAGGTTTCCATGATATTTAAAAATCTACCTTAAATGATGTTTTTCTGAAAGCATTCCCATTTGTTAATGGTTTCTCTGACACTAACATACAAGTTGGTCTATTCAGGTAGAGCTGGAGGAGGGTGTTTAGGAAAATACTGCTAAGGCTTTTGAAATTTTGGAATAAAATCCCCAACGATTTTTCTTTTTAAGCAGTAAAAAAAAAATCTACAAATATTAAATAAAAAGTCTATTGATACTACTCTTGTCTGAAAGCAGCTGTTTCATTTTGGGCATATACTACCATCTTATTTTTACTACAAAACACAATTATTTTCCTTCCTGTTGAATACTTCAGTTAACTACTTGTCAGAAGTTCATGACTTTGAAAAAGATAAAAAACCCTATCATAATACAGCTAAGCTATCCTCCGTATAGTATTAAAAGCTAAACAATCCTAAACACCTGTGGTGTGAAAAGCCCTTTTACATTTCAGTTACACCTGAAATGTTAAATTCTGATGCTGCAAGCATTGTGAAAAATTTTGCCATTTCTTCGTTGTATTCTTGTGTCTGAGGCTGAGCATACCTTACATTTGAGGCAATTTCCAAAACCCACTCTCAGATATTCTTCTGTTACTGTCCTTTTAAAATACATTGAAAGAACTGATATTTTCCTCAGCCTCCAAAGACGACACATGCACACTAAATATATTTTCATTTCTAGTTAGTTTTCTTAGCTTTACTTTTCCTTGCTACAGTCTGTTGGAATAGGAAAACATAAAATAAAATTTCATGCATCACAATTTCTTCAACCTATAGTAAACTCACAAACTTCTGCATGTCAGCAAGACTGTCCAGCTCACTTTAATAATCTGACTACCTAAGGGTTCTTTTTATTAACAAAACTCTTAACCATGAGGACTAGGAGACTTGGATTCCTAGGTTCCAGATTCAGATCACATCGTCAGTGATCCCCTGCTTACAGCATCAATTTGCATCTCAAGCCAGTGATTAAGATTTCTTTTTTTTTTTTTAAATGCCCTCCTGCAATGAAGCTATTTCAGTCAGTATTTCTCCTTACACCTATCATGCAAAACTCCCTGAAAATCAGGAATGTTTTTATTTCAGGTGTGTGTGTGTTCGCGCATGCTCGTGGCACAGTATTACATGCCTGTGGGTGCTACAGCACTGGTTAACTTAAATAATTAAAGGGGTAGGGGAGGATCATTTTTCTGAGTTAGATTCAATAAATACCATATCTGAAATTACCAAATACCTGAGATACTAGTTTCCCAATTTTTTTTAATCAGTTCCTCCAATATTCCAATGACATTGCTCCAGATATGATCAAATACTTCGGAAGCCACAGCATCTTTGATACAGGCACTGGGAGAAACAGGGGGAATGCCACGCTTGCTCCTCTTCTCAGCAAGACACATTTTCTTTTGTTCCCAACTCTCATCATCACTAATAAAGGAAACAAATTCAAAAGAATTCCCATGGGTTTGACCTTTTTTCCCTTCTTCCAATACAGAAACATACATACAGAAGAAAAAGCAGTCCGCTGTAGATCACCAAAAAATTCAAATTTAAGTGCACAAAGTAACTATGGGAACAGAACCTATCAAATGCATAACGTGATTTCTTTTTCTTTTGCTTGCAGTTGAAAAATTAAAAAATCCAGTCAGTGCATTACAACAGCAAGATCGGCAACACTAGGAAAAAGCTGTTATACACTGCACAGATTAAGATTAAAGTTAAGATTCATTAGGGCAGACAATGAGAGGAGGTATATTGTAACGACCCTAAACAACTTGCTGCTCAAGGCACTCACTTCAGGAGAAGGGTGTCTTCATTCTACTCCTTGTCTCAAAACTAAATATTCATTCTATTGAATCTCCATGCAACAAACACCTCAGAACAATTACTGGTTAAGGCACATTCCTCTGACATGGGAGATGTGAGTTTTGAACCACTACAGACAACATACCTAATCTTCCACATGCCCAGTGAGTGCTCTGACCACTGTGCTACTGAACACAGGGGCAGAAGGATCTGTATCTTACAGAGGACAAACACAGTTTATGAACCCTGACTCGGTTCACTGATAATTTTTCATTATATTCTTCAAAAATACATATATCAGTTATTTACAGTTCCCTGTTGTCAAAGGCAAGATATTCTTCTATTTTTCCATCCATATCATAGATTTCTTCTTCCAGAAAGGAATACACGGCTGAGTCAGAAGCAAAAATCATAGTGGAACTTGAATCTAGTGCTTTATGTATTGGAGATGCTGTTGGGATCAGTTTAGAGCCTGAAATGCAGAGGCTGGGGAAAAAAAAAAAAATCAACAAAATGAGAATTAAATATTTAAAGAAAGAAGTGCATATTTAATTACACTCACAAGCTTCACTAATACAAAAATAACAGCTGTATGCATTTCTGAATGGTGAAGACCAAAAAGAAAACCTAAAAAAATGAACATACTCTTTTGTATTACTAGTGCATTCATGGAGGCCAGGCAAACACTTAGTATCCACATAGGTATCATTTCTGCTCTGAAAATGCTGAAAGCCTTCATCCTTTGGCAATAGGAGCTGCTTTCCTAGAACCCTGAATAAAAAGGAGAGAACAAGCAGTATCTTAGATGGAAACACACACCATATACAAATATCCAGAATACAAATACCTGCAAACAGCAGGCAGTGCAAAGCACACCTCAGACCTGTTTTGAAATGCAATTCTTGGAGAGGTCAGAGCTGTATGTAATATATTAACATCACCTAGGATTTAAGTCATTAAATTTAAGCTGATTTACATAAGCTGAGGTTTTAGTTTATAAATTTTATGAGTAAATAGTCAAACTTGTTAGATTGTTCTAAAGGCAAAGTAAGCACATGCCCTTTCTTATCAAAACTCTGTAAGAAACATTTAAAAATGGACACAGCTGGTTTACAAATTAAAACAAAAAAAAGACAAAAAAAATACAGCCAACAAGCAGTTTGAAGCACAACTTGGAAATAAATCTGGCATCCCAGAAGCTATTCTTCTGAGGAACTAGTCAGCACAGACCAAGTTAAGGTTTAAGCTTCATAAATAAAAATAATTTTTGTTTTCTTTTTAAACCACAGGAGGTACCACATCCCTTAGCAGCAAATGATGCAGAAGGTCCCAGATTTCCTCAATACACTTTTGACCTCTAGGACTTGGTTGGTATTGTCAGCATTAGATATGAACTGAAAAGTTTTAAGTACAGGGAGTCACTTAAAATAAATTCTACCCAGCAAAAATACCCTAAAAATATAGAGAAATTACTTAGTATTTTGATTTATTACACAGCACAAATATCAGTCTCTGTTTTATGCATCTTCTATTAATTTTTCACTGTCTCTAAACAAGGCAAAGTATGGCTTGATGCTAGTGAAAATTGCCTCAGATTTATTTAACAATTCTCTCTTGTTCCTGACAAAGTGTGACAAGCTTTGTTAGTTGATTTTTATTTATATTTACACAAACCAAACCACTGCAAATTACCTAAAAGCACTGAAAGCATACCACAGTATAACAGCATTCTTTTCAATGGTGTTAACAAACTATTGACTAGAACATAGCCTAAACACATTCAGGTCTATGTTTAGAAAGGCTTAAGAGTAACCACATCTCACAAAGAATAACATGCCACCATTTATGAAGGCAGGACAGTACAATGCAGAGCAACACTGACTCATCCCCTGCGTTATAAGAAGCAGGCATCAGGCTGCCTAGAAATTTTGCACATCTGTGCAAAGCAATTCTCATTAATCATGTATGCATCCTCCTATCTGTTCAACTAGGTATTGCTGGGTTAATATAACACACTGTTTTACATGGCCTAGGAGGATATCACAGCTGTGCAGTGTATGAGGCATGTGGTTACCTTTGTTTTTCATTACTGGTTGGAAGAACCAATTATAGAATCAACCCTGAATTTCTTGGAGTTTCACAGCATGTTTTCATTTACATTAAAACCAAGTATTTATTTACAAGATGCACTCTTTATTTAGCAAAAGTCATAATGAAAACGGTGCATTACTATTTCTCATTACATTCTGCTAAAATACCATTGCCTGCAAACATTATATTAAGCAAAATAAAGGGCATTAGCTGCTAAAGCACCACTGCTCAGATTCACTGTGCAACTATGGCACAGCTCAGTCCCAGATTTAAATGCACAAGTGTTACTGATGCCATACATCAAGAGTAATCCATAAGAGAGTACCCCAAAAATTCAAATTAGAATGATAAGTGATTAAAACTAGTACTAGCAAGAAACTGCCTTACCTTAGGTGAGGAAATTGTTCAACCCAATCTGCACATTCTGCCTGCAGGCTCTGTGTTTGGGAGGTCACTTTTCCTTCAAATAGCATCTCATCAATCTCCAAAAATAACTGATGCACTCTCTGTGTGTTGGCTTTATCAAATTCCTGTATATTATAAAGTTAAGAGTTGTTAGCAAATATACATGTATACTAAAACTCCTATATTTATAGAACAGAACAACTTGAATCTATTTGGCTGAGCAAGTCACAATACATGTTCAGACTACCTACTTCAGTCACACAATTTATAAGCCACAATGCAAAAAAAAAAAATCCTGCATAGCTGGTCTGAGCAAGTTGATTTAGTAAAACAGAACTGAAGCCTATATTTCTATGATGTTAACAGATAACAGACAGCTGCCTAGGATTAGCCACCAGAAAGAAACCAAAGCAGTTACAAGGTGTCTGGACTCTCAGCTTGCTCCCTGCTCCAACCTGAAGCATGCACATTGCATCCCTAGGAGCCATGGCAGCAAAGATACCTGCCCTTCGGAGCAGCTCTCTTCCTTTCTGAGTAAAACAGCTAAGAGGGCAAAGAGGGGGCACCGTCCTTATGCATGTGATGCTAAAAAAATGAACATACTCTTTTGTACTACTAGTGCATTCATGGAGGCCAGGCAAACACTTAGTATCCACATAGGTATTTATATGGATAAATAACCACCAGACACCTAGTCTGGTGGTTAGAAAACAGCCCTCAGTGTGAGAAACGCCCTTCCACATCTCTTTACTGAACACACAACTTAGTGCAAACAGAGACAGGTGAGCACAGGGGCATATGAAAATAGCAGAAACAAACGCTTGGCTGAGGGTTCCTCAGCTGGGGCACTGTTCAAAATTACATTTGTCACTTACATTAGATACTTTAATACACTAGAAAAAGGGTAATACTCTGGCCCCAAATTATGCTTGTTCACTTCCAGCTGAATGCCTCAAAGCAATCCAGGCTACAGAAAGGATCACACCAAAATGGAATGGGAAAATAACTCACACACAAATTACTGTATAATCCAGAGTCAGGCTTTCTCCCAAAGGGCTGGCAGCTACAGATGGGGTCAGTACCCTAAAAGTTTGGACATACTGAAAAAGAATGGCAGACCTGCCACTACCAGCCGTGGAAGGCATTTAAAAATAAAAGCAGTAGCAACAGCAATGCTTGTGCATTTATTCAACACTGCCAGCCTGCACCAGGTATGCCTCAGAGGTCAGTCTCCACAGCAGGTACAACTTCTCTCCACATCATCTACAAAACAGAACTGAGCTTTGGTAAGATCTAAATATCTACTGAGGCCGCGAAAATTATATGTATGTTTATGAATGCATTTTATGACAGAAAACATTGATAATAATTTAATTTTGACACTGCCTGCACTGTGCAGTGTTTGGAAACACATATTTTATCACTCTCTACGACTCAGAAACCCAAGCCTATCTTCTTTGGTAAATCAGGTTTGTTTTCCCAAAATTTCAGCATTTCGTATTTTTATTCCATTTTTCTTTGTTATATGTTAGCTGCACTGATACCAACTTGCAAACAAAACTACTTTTTAAATAAACAATTAATACACTTAACCATTAGTCCATTTTCAGTAAAAATTTATCTTTTCTACAATATTTAAAGAAAGGGTACTGTAAAAGTTTCTGTAACCTACATCATCCCTCCAGGAGTAAACCGAACTTCTTTCAGTAGACAAACTAGTAGTATAGCTGTTTATTCCAGACCAAGAATTATTCAACTCTGTGGGTGTTGTACAACGGCTAGATGAAAGCGATGAAAGCGTTTCACTGAAAAGGTGACAAATTAAAAGAAAGAACACGATTAATTTCTGTATAAATGTTTTTTAAATAAGGCAAACAGTCATGTAAATGGACAGTGACACATACTCCTGTCAAGGTGAGGAGCTGCAAGTCTATGTTTCTAAGCAGAGTGCTATGAGTATCTGTTGCTATTAGGACTATTTACTGCCTTAAAGGGAATTCCTTCTACATTATTAGGCTTTTGTATGTATATATATACATACTTTGCAACTGTATAGGCACTCTAAAATATGCATACGTATGTGTATATGTATTTGAATATATATATACACACACACACCCCTGTATTTCCAGCTCTAACAATTACTCCAGCTAGTGATCACATGAAAAACTACACATTTAAGATAAACCTTAACTCCCTAAGAAGCTATCACAAGTAAAATTTTTGAAAACTAAACACAAGATCTCTACAAATGTTTCAATTAGCATGGCTTATATATATCTGTATGCAGTGTCTTATATGTTGCTAAATACGGTGCACATTAAATCTTGAGCTCCAGTATACAAGCCCTCAAAGCTCTAGCTGGCCCTTGCCAGTTACTACCCACCCTGGGATGCAAGCAATGCAATGGCAATCAGATGTGCAGGTCCAGGCAAATCCTAACCAGTGTCACCTGGAATGAAACTTCTAGAATGTTAATTGACCTGCAGTGTTGGTAAACAGGATTTCAATTTAACCATAAAGTCTGACTTCCCTTTAAAACTTAATCAATGCCCTTTACCACGGTCTAAAAATACTCAAATCCACAACAGAAACCCTGAGTAAAATTCAAACTCTGTAAACAATGGGTTAGGTCAATTTATGTCCTGCGTTATATCCTGCAATAGACTAGGGAATAACCAATCTTCAAATACCTAAGTCAAAAGTGCATTAATAAAGTACTGTTTCAGAAATAAATGCATACCAAGCATAATTGGCGATAGCTTCCTGCACATTTCTTGCAAAAACTGATGGAAGAGACTCTCCATGTCTTCCAGAGAGGCACGGATTTGTGGAACGTCTGGACAGCCCCTTCCTATAAATACAGAAACACATCATTCCATAGTTTTAAATAAATTTAATTCACACCTCCACTGGAGGGAAGAGAAAAAGTAAGATGACTACTCTGTTGAATTTTTCAATCCCATCCATCAACACAAATGTTTGCTTGAAACTAACTACCTTGTTTTAAAGTAGTTCTCATTTACATTACTTACACAAGTAATTTTTTTTAAAAAAATGTACATTAATTTGAGAGTTGTTTCACATCACAGACATCCTCCTTTTATTCTGCAGTTTAAAGCCTGCATGAAGCATAGAAAAATGCAGCAGCACCTCACTACTGCAGGAACAGAGCAAAGGCACAAAACATTAATTGCCTATTTAGTAGTTACTCACCTATGTGTTTCTGTTCAATCATTAACAGAGTCCACTTACTCAGATGTTTCTCCGCATTAAAAATAGGTACAGATATGTTGCCAAGCAAACAGTATTCTCTGATAAAACTATTCTAGTATAGCTTTTAATGAAGGAATGTTTTTTTGTTTGTTTGGGGGTTTGCTTTTGATTTTAATGGAAACTGTTTATAATTACACATTCCTATAATACCACTAAATTCTGTCATTAACATGCTAAACCAGCCTCTTCAGAATATACACAGATGTGTCACAACAAAGGCTGCAAAACCTCCACCTTTGGCAGTTCCTACCTTCATCCCATAAAATCCTCAGGTCATAACCATGAATAGCAGCATGATTGCATCAAAGTACATTCATGAATGAGGAACTGTAAGGAAACACCTCACAGTTCAAGAATTTTCTTGATTTCTTCAGACAAAAACTGTAGATTGGCCCTGCAACAGTTAGGACTGCTCTGTCTTCATTCTATCCTTTCTGATAATTATCTTGTCATTACACATATTACAAAGATACATGTGTCAAAATCTAACTGCCCACTCAAATCCACCACATCACACATCCTACTCCTATGTCTACATTAACAAGACATTGCAAGTTTGAACTTCTCATCAGGGAAGACCTTAATTCTTGGAGGGCAAATTCTTGGAGGGCGGTACAACAGCAGCTACAGCAGCAAAACAACAAAGCATCTCCATGTGTTTGCTCTAGTATCTAAGCTCTTCCCTAGGCATCTGCATTGGGACAGTCAGCACCAGGAGGCTCTACAAAAATCGGTGCAGTCCAGTTCCATGGCTGGAACCTCATTTTGCCATAACACCAAGATCTGTCTCCCAGGCAGTAACGGTGAGCTCACAGCCCATCTTCTACAAGGAATGCTGTTTCCTTCTGTTCATGTACATCCCTCTCTGCTGTTTCATTTGCCAAGTTATTATTCTGGCAGCCTCATAAGTCTTTCAATTTTTTTCAGACCTGACCCTTATTCTTAATATTTTTTCCACAGTTTGAAATCCTCACCAAGCTTTTTCCCTTCACTGCTCATGCCTTTACCCGCTCAACTAGCTTGAACTGCACAGGACAGATTCCCATGAAACACCACTGGAGGAGGAAACCATTTTCCATTACCCTCTGTTTCATACTGTAGTTATTTGCTAACCCTAACCCTTTCCTCTTGCATTCCAGATGCTTTGTTTACTTGGCAACCCAAACTAGCTATATGGATTGGATTGCCTGTTTCTGTGAGACTTTCTGGCTTACCAAAGAACCCTGGGTGAGAGTGGGGGCGAGCAGGGGACGTCTGTGGCTTTGAAGCAAACCTGAGCCTACAAACATGAAAACAACTAGAGATACCATCACTAATAGTTCACGGACCTTCTCAGTGAAACACCACATAAGCATTATACTTAATGCCATATACATGCAATCATGGAACCGTTCAGGTTGGAAAGGACCTCTAAGATCACCGAGTCCAAGCATCAACCTAACACTGCCAGGTCCCTAAGCAAAAAACCTACGGTTTTTGAACCCTTCCAGGGACGGTGATTCCATCACTTTCCTGAGCTGCCTGTTCCAATGCCAGATCACCCTTTCGGTCAAGAATTTTTTTGCAATGTCCATCTAAACCTACCCTGGCACAACTTGAGGCTATTTCCGCTTGTCTGGATGTGAGATAGATCCAGAAGCGTTTCAGCCTCATTGTACCACTACATGCTGTCGTACGACGCCTCCTGACTCCTTGGATCACATACCATTAGGAGATGCAGCACGAAAAAATCGCAACAAAACAAAACGAAAGGAAAAACCCCTCCCAGCATACCCACAGCATCGCTACCCCTGCGCTGGGATCACGCCAGCCC